AACAAACCTTTGGACCTTATAGAGTCTGATCAAAAAACAGATGGGCCACCTCAGACTTCAGCTAGCTTTTCTAGCTATTTACTTTAGCCGAAAGAATAGTATTTCCATGGCCACAAGTAATTAGAACTCACCATATTAACAGAGTGGGACAACAAATCAAGGGAACTTCCCCAAATTAACACATGATCTCAGAATTGCGCTATGGCTCTAATCGCTGCCTCACCTGAAGAATGAAAGCATTTAATCTGGTCTACCTGCCCTTTACAGGATGAGTATGACAAGTAATTTGCAAGTAAGTGTTAAAAAATATAAGCATTACTTACAGAAGTAGGACTTGATTGAGAGCCTGTCAAGTCAAATCATGACAAGGAGGATGGGCAGATTCTAATAGTTTAAATGCAAGGTATTTTGTCATTAAGATAATAAACGCATCAAAAGTTTTTGTGGCTCCTTCACTACTGGTTCCCATGGACTACAGAGAGTTTTCTAGAGTTAGGGCATAACAATGCAACAGGCAACTTCCGCGGCTGTTCGACAGGTCTTGGCTGATTCTTCTTTATTTGTTCCCTTTCCTAACAGCCCTCACAGTCATTCTCTGAAATGGTACAAGTGTAAAGATTGAAAAGATCAAGCTCGGATACAAGCCTGAAATTATATCTGTGGAAAATGCTTTCACGTGCTACTTTTGTGGTGACATTTCTAATGCAATGTTTGTAACAATGCAATTTCATCATCTTATAAATATCAATTTACCATGAAGAGAAGAAGGAAAGAACAACAGAAAAAGGACACAAATGCAAACTTACCACCATTTCTGCTTTGTTTTAATTAAACTAGTCTTGCTCAGATAAGCCTTTCTCTTACAAAAACAACGGTTTATAGCCTAAACTATGAAACTCTCTGTGCATGTGTGCTTGTGTGTGTATGTGTAATTATGGTGCCTGCTAACAATTTCATACTGCCACATTGCACATATGGCTTCCAAGCTCGCTTTATCTGAATCTCTGCAAATCTATTCTCCATGCTATTAAACTGAGCACATTCCACATCGTTCAAAAGTAATTACACTTTTGTCTAGAGTGTAGGAGACTGCTCTCCCCAAACAATGAAATTCTCATTATTAGAGCTGGCACAATAACGGCACTGGTGTTCACAACACTGTGCTTTGTACCATCACAATAACTTATCCTAAGCTTGATGCACAAAGGTACACTGGAAATTAAAATTTCTCTAAAACCACTGTAGGTTTTTTTTTAATAGGCATTCTTTCGCTTAGTATAATTAGAGTCCTATTTTGACTTTTTAAAAAGCTATACACATCCAGATTTCTATTCTCTTCACAACTTCCGAGCAGTAGCTAAGTGCTCTAGCTGCATGTTGCTCTGATCTGATAATATTCACATGTTGATGACCCCAAACCAACTGGTGAAGTGTAGATCAGGATGTATGTGAAGATTAAATACAAATGCAGCATTAAACAACTTTTTATTGTGTGTGAGCACAGGAAAGGCATGAAATAATGTGCAGGTATGCTCTTGGAGCAGTGTTGCTGCCATTATTAAATACGACCAAAATTCCGTAATATACTTCCTAAGTTAGAGGAATGACTTCATGTACCACAGAAATGCAGCAATTTTTAGTGAGAAGTAGCAAGGTGCTATTTAACAGTGCACTCTAAATTTTCTTGTCAATTTAAAGCACAGCTGAAAATGAAAACTGAATCCCACCAAACATGAAAACTCACAAATGCCATCAGGTTGGAACATGGAATGAACAGTGATACAATGATAATTTGCCAGTATGGGCTTTGGGTGAGAACTTGCCTTTTCTATCTCATCTGACATTTGCATGGTACTCTTACCTTGTGAGAAATGTTCAAAGTTAACCAGAGAATACCACATCCAAAACATATATTAATCAACTACTGTGCTCCTAGTCTTCTCACCGCTTATGTGCAGAAATCAGTGCACAGGCGCCACTGGTGACACCAGCTCTCTCAAGAGATGGTGAAAGCACAGAGCACAGGGCTCCACACAGCAGGCAAAAACAAACAAGTCAAATAAACCCTCAGAACACAGAGCAACTAAAAATCTATCCCTGCAAATACTGCATCCTTAACAAGTTGCTTCAAAAAGGTATTAATTGATAGTATAATCCTCAAGTGTTTCCCAGCTAAGCTTATAGCCTGCTATTAACATTCTAAGGGGACATCCTCATAGATTGTAGGGCAAATGATTTGTCTTACACTTTCCTTTAAGCTTTTGCTTTAAACCTGATAAATTAGCTATTCTGCTAGCAAGAAAAGAAATCTCTGTTACTTAGACTAAGTATCTACTTTTTTCTTCTATAGGAAGGGAGTTTAGGACACAGTTGCCCCTGCCTTGAAAGACCTCTCTCTGGCTGCAGTTCCAGCAGCTTCAGAAATAGGCTGTTCGCCTCAACGCAAAGATAGAAGGCGTGTTTGGGGGCTATCTTGCTGATGTGGTTCGGCTTGAAGACCTTTCTTGGGCTTTTGCCCTTATTCTTTCCCAGCATTCAGAGCTGTGCCTCTTGAGTGGCTGACAAAGACAAGCGCTGCTACAACTTGCGCTACAGGAACAGAAGAAATTTTAGAAAAATCTACATCTCCCAAATTGTTGAGTTGTTTTTCTGCTGAAATTAGCCCTCTGAACTAAGGCTCCTGGGATGTTGCAGCTAAAAGTAACACATGATACAGAGGGTCCCTTCCAACCTTAAGGATTCTATGATTCTGGGAAGCTGCTGGCGCTTTGTCAATAAAAGTGTACCGGCTTGCACCATGGGGTCGTGTGTGTGCGGCCACACACCTGGATGGCTTTACAGAGACAGCAGAACATCACGGAACATGACAGCCAAGGACCAACGTGAGAATATTCTTTGGGAATTACTTTTGTAAATGATAAACATAGGAATTAAAGCCATCTAAAAGTTATCCAATTCAGGCAGGTCCTTCTTTTAAGATACAACTACACACCAAAGGGACAGAGTGCAGGATTATGTGCATTTTCCTCACTTATGCAACCATATCCTTCTGTCTGGAAACATACAGACTATGTC